CAAGTAGCTGGGACCACAGGCGCCTGCCACAATGCCAGGCTATTTTTTGGTTGCAGCCGTCATTGTTGTTTGGTGGGCCCAGGCTGGATTCGAACCCGCCACCTTAGGTGTATGTGGCTGGCGCCTTAGCCACTTGAGCCACAGGCGCTGAGCCGATTAATCATTTTTTTAATAAGAGAAGGATTTCAATAGATATTTCTTCACAGAAGATATGCAAATGGTGAATCAACACATGAAAAGATGTTCAACATCATTACCTATTAGAGAAGTGCAAATATAAATCACAATGAAATATCAGTTCACACCCACCAGATGTCTACAATCAAAACGACACAGAGTAACAATTGTTGGCAAGGATGTATAGAAACGGGAACTCTCATGCATTGCTGGTGGGAATGTAAAATGATACAGCTGCTAAGAAAAACAGTTTGTCATTTCCTTAAAAAGTTCAACATAAGTTACCATGTGACCCAGCAATTCCACCCTTAGGTATGTACTCAAAAGAATCGCAAATATACATCAACACAAAAACCTGTACATGTATGTTTATAGCAGAATTATTCAAAATGTAAAAAACAACCCAAATAGCCATCAACTGATGAATGGATAGACAGATGTGATACAACCATACAATGGAACATTATTCTGCCATAGAAAGGAATGAAGAACTGGTACATGCTGCAACATGTATCATTCTAAGACAAAAGAGCCAGACACACAAAGTCACACATTATCTGATCCATCTATGCGGAATGTCCAGAATAGACAAATCCATAGAGACAGAAAGTAGGTTGGGAGTTGCCAGGGGCTGGGTGAAGGGGAACTGTGGAGTGACTGCTAATGGGTACACAGTTTTGGGGGGGGGATGATGAAATGTTCTGGAATAGATTGTGATGATGATTGCACAATCTTGTAAACATATTAAAAACCACTGAATTGTACATTTTTAAATGGTGAATTTTATGGTATATGAAAAATATGTAAATTTTGTAGAAGTCTGGGTGGTACATGTGGGAATGATGTGTGTGTGCACATGCACACATGTGTGCAAGGCTGGGAGAGTGGGCCCATGGTCTCCACCTTCCTGAGGAGATGTTAGAGCTCCTCCCTAACTCAGCACCCAGCATTTCTGCCTCCTTCTCCCCACATCACCTCACCATCCTTTCTGCTCTCCACAGCAACACTTACCATAGCCCTGTGGCTCCCTGGCCTCCCAGCCACGGAGCCCTCCCACTCTGTCTGACTCACCGGAGCTTCTGGATGTTGGAGGAGACCCCTGAGAGGCGGTAGATTCCATCCACCACTCCATACTCCTCTACAAACTCTGCACAGCTCCTTAGTACCTGGGGCACTGGAACACAGATGGGGCAGAGAAAGAGAAATGGGTCTGAGAAATGAAAGCACCAGGGAAGGGAGTTTGGGGAGATGGAGGACAAAGCTGGTGGAATAAAGTCTTGTCAGAAAGATTCTTGCAAATCATCAGCTCCAAATCTTCTACAGAATCTCTGCCCATCCGGTCTTAGAACCTGGCCATAAAGCCTTCAATGTGGGGAGGGGGGGAGCTCACTGCCTCTCCAGACTACCCAATCAGTCCTTTGCTAGAAAGTTCTGCCTTTGCTGAACTGAAATTTGTTTCTCTGTAATTACTAGTTGCTATGCCAAAATTTTTAAAGGGGCAGCAATCCAGTTGGTAGGGGAGGCAGAGTCAAGGACAGGTCTTCAAAGTGAGTTTACACAACACTCAACAAAAGATTTAGGATGATTAGTTGTCTCAACCAAAATTGAACAGTGCTGATGGGAATTATTCTGAAGCACACCTTCTCATAAGAAAGTTCATGGCTATTAGTTTTGTCATAGGAAAGTACAAAAATTAGTGACAGATCTTCAAATAGGTCAACTGAGGAGAGGAACTCCTGTCTGCCAAGCACCGCACTGACTGCTTTATGTATGTTCTGTTTTTCAGTCTGGTAAATTAGTCATTTATGCCCCCAGTTTACGGATAAGAAAACTGGAGGATCAAAGAAGTAGCAAGCACCCTGCAGCACTCAGCTAGAGGCACTGTTCAAATCAAAGAGTCTAAAAAAGCTATATTGTCTCTCTCAACCCCGGGTCCCCTCTTCTTGTTGTTGATGTGTTTGCTTGCTTGCTTGCTTGTTTGTTTTTGAAATACAATCTTACTCTGTCACCATGAGTAGAGTGCTGTGGTGTTATAGGTCACAGCAGCCTCAAACTCTTGGGTTCAAGTGATTCTCTTGCCTCAGCCTCCCAAGTAGCTGGGACTACAGACACCCATCACAATATCTAGCTAGTTTTTCTATTTTTAGTAGAAACAAGGTCTCCAACTCCTGAGCTCAGGTGATCTGCCCACCTCAGCCTCACAGAGTGCTGGGATTACAGGCATGAGCCACCCCATCGGACCATTAGTTTCTGTGTTTATGCCTTCTGACTGTGTTTATGCCATCCCAGCCTCTAGCACAATGTTGAAACAGAGCAGGTATTCAATACATGTTTATTTATTTATTATTTATTTTTTTGACAGAGTCTCACTTTGTTGCCCTCAGTAGAGTGCCATGGCATGGCATCACAGCTTATAGAAAACTCAAACTCTTGGGCTTAAGCAATTCTCTTGCCTCAGCCTCCCGAGTAACTGGGACTATAGGCACCCTCCACAATGCCCAGCTATTTTTTAGAGACAAGGTCTTGCTCTGGATCAGTCTGGTCTCGAACCCATGAGATCAGGCAATCTACCCACCCTGGCCTCCCAAGTGCTAGGATTACAGGTGTGAGCCACCTCATCCGGCCTCAATAGATGTTTATTAAATGCCTCAATGAATTAACCAGTCAATTATGAGAATTGGTGACATCCCTTGGAGATTTAATAGAGAATATTACCTATGACAAAACTTTCAGTCCTACTAACCAGGACACACCAGAGAAATCTCTCGCCTGCCAGTGTCAGAAAAGGGTGTCTTTCTCCTAAGCTACCTATTAGTTTTTTTTTATGGCCCTTGTAAGTTTTGTACTTGATTATATTCACCTCTTCAACAACCAGAGAGCTCAGAGCCCACCTTCAGGAACTATATAAGACCATCTGATATGCATTTCTAGGTGCTGGTCTTCCTTTTCCTCTTGTTTTCTTTTCAACCTAATTCCTTCAGCCACTTATTCTATATTTTTGTGAACTTTCGAGTTTTGGAAGTCGTCCCAAGCTTTTTGTGGGATAAAGTATGATAAAAGTATAGGATGCAGGAAGATGCAATAAATCCACCAGCCACAGTCTTTCCACTCTCTTCATATAACCTGGCTTCCAGGCCCTTCGTCCTTCTGCACACCAGAGCCAGGACTTGGGTGGGATAAGGGAGGCATCTAGGTGCAAAATTTCGGGAAGCACTT